GAGCGCGATCCCTGGCGCTTCCTGGTCAAGGTGCAGGGCCAGTCGATGCGCGACGCCATCAAGACGAACCTGGCCGGGCGCTATCTCGACGACTTCCTGAAGCAGATCCCCAGCATGCGCTTTCCCATCGCCGACCGCATCGCGGTCTGCGAGACCGGCCTGGGCCTCTATGCCCTGCGCCAGCCGCGCACGCCCATCGCCTTCGATTTCGCGCGCATCGAGTGCCTGCACATGCCCCTGGCCGGCGACGGCCAGCGCGTCGACCAGATCCTCAGCGTGTTCGCCTACGAAGGCGAGAAGTCGGTTCGCTTCGAGGACCGGGACACCGCGCAGGCCGAGCCGTGACCGGCTACACCACGTTGCGTTCCAGGATCGGGCGGCCGGCCGCGAGGCGTTCGTAGCCGAAGCGCGAGAGGTCGAGGCTGAGGTAGCGGCCCGCCACGATCAGCTCGGCCAGGGCGCGCCCGACCGCCGGGCTCTGCTGCAGGCCGTGGCCGGAGAAGCCGTTGGCGAAGAGGAAGTTCGGCAGCTCCGGATGGGGCCCCAGGATGGCGTTGGCGTCGAAGCTGTTGACGTCGTAGTGGCCGGCCCAGGCGCCGGTCGGCTTGATCGCCTCGAAGGCCGGCACCCGCGCCGCCAGCAACGGCCAGAGCCGCGCCTCGAACAGGCCGTGGTCCACCTCCAGGTCGTCGCAGTCCGGGTCGGCCTCCTGCGCGCCGGGCGAGATGCCGCAGATGAAGCCGCTGCCTTCGGGCCGGAAGTAGAGGCCGCTGGGGTCGATGGTCAGCGGACAGCCGGGCAGCTCGTCGCGGCAGTCGAAGACGAAGACCTGGCGCTTGCGCGGATGCACCGGCAGGGCCTCGATCCCCGCCATCAGAGCCAGGTCGCGGGCGCGGATGCCGGCGGCGTTGACCAGCCAGCCGCAATTCACACGCCCGCCCTCGGCCAGCTCCACGCCGATCACCCGGCCGTGCCGGCGGGCCACGCCGATCACCTCGTCGGCCAGGTAGGTGGCGCCCAGCGCGACGGCCTTGCGCCGGAAGGCCTGCAGCAGTGCATAGGGGTCGAACCAGCCCTCTCCGGCCGTGCCGAAGGCGCCGCCGGCCAGGCCTTCCAGGCTCAGCCAGGCGAAGCGCTCGGCCAGGTCGGCGCGGTCGAGCAGCGCCACCGGCGCCCCCTCGGCCTGCTGCACGGCGTGGTTCGCCCGCAGCGTCTCCAGGCCGGCCTCGCTGGCCAGGAAGAGATAGCCGCGCTCGTGGAGCTGCACGTCGGGACGCTCGCCGTCGACCGCCAGCCGCTCGCCGATCTCGCGCAGGAAGCGCAGACCGAACTGCGACATGCGGATGTTCTCGGGCGTCGAGAATTGCTGGCGGATCGAGCCGGCCGAGCGCGCCGTCGCGCCGCTCTGGTAGCTGGGGTCGCGCTCGACCACGCAGACCCGTCCGGTGAAGTCCGGGTCGGCCAGCAGGAAGTAGGCGACGGCGGAGCCGATCACGCCGCCGCCGGCGATCACCACGTCGAAGCTGTGCGGGGCAGGGGAGCTGGGGTGGGTCATGGTCTCGAACCGTAGCAGTGCGCAACGCTGTCGGGAAAGCGCCGCGCGGTCGTGCGGTCTGTGAGAATGCGCCCGAATTCAGAAAGATAGCGCAATCGTGGCCAATCGGCGGGCTCCCGGCGGCCACCGGCGGGCGAGCCCCGCGCGACCTGTCGCCCCGCCCGCGGCTTGCCCCCGCACGCGGGGCGAAAGGCGATTGCCAAGCGCCGCCCGGCCTGAGACCATTTTCGCCGACCAGCCCGGGTACGGTGAAATGGCCGGGCTGCAGCGGACAGGGCGCGATGTCCCGGCCACCTCCCCGGGCGGCCGACCAACGACCCGCCAACCCGACGGCAAGCGCCGGGAGCGGGCCGCAACGCGGGGAGGAACCGTCATGACGAAGCCGCAGAACGGCGCGGCGCGCTGCGCCGTGCTTGTCGGGCCCTACGGCAGTGGCAAGACCAGCCTGCTCGAGGCCCTGCTCTTCGCCGCCGGGGCGACAGAGCGCAAGGGGGGCGTCGGCGACAGCTCGGCCGAGGCCAAGGCACGGAGCATGAGCGTCGAGCCCAACGCCGCCCACGCCACCTACCTGGGCGAGCCCTGGTCCTTTCTGGACTGTCCCGGCTCCGTCGAGCTGGCGCAGGACGCCCAGGACGCGCTGATCGCCGCCGACGTGGCGGTGGTGGTGGCCGAGCCGGAGGCGGCCAAGGCGCCGGCGCTGGCGCCGCTGCTCAAGTTCCTCGACGACCGCCAGGTCCCGCACATGCTGTTCGTCAACAAGATGGACCGGCTCAGCGAGAGCGGCGGCGAGCGCGTGCGCGACCTGCTCGCCGCCTTCCAGGCCGCCTCCGCCCGGCCCCTGGTGCTGCGCCAGGTCCCGATGCGCGAGAACGGCGCGGTGGCCGGCGCCGTCGATCTGGTCAGCGAGCGGGCCTGGCACTACAACCCGCACGGCCCCTCCAACCTGGTCGAGATCCCGGGCGAGCTGCGCGAGCGCGAGAGCGCGGCGCGCCAGCAGCTTCTGGAGACCCTGGCCGACTTCGACGACGGCCTGCTGGAGGAGCTGCTGGAGGACAGGGTGCCGGCCGACGAGGAGGTCTACCGCCACCTTTCGACCAACCTCGCCGCCGACCGCATCGTGCCGGTCTTCCTCGGCGCGGCTGAGCAGGACAACGGCATCCACCGCCTCTTCAAGGCGCTGCGCCACGAGGCGCCGGGCCCCGAGGTGGCGGCCGGGCGTCTGGGCGTGGCGCCGAAGCAGACGGCGGCGGGCGACGCGGTCTGCGCCGCCGTGGCGCGCACCCTCAACCTGGCCCATGCGGGCAAGGTCTCGGTGGCCCGCCTGTTCCGCGGCAGCCTGAAGGAGGGCGACCGCCTGGCCGGGCAGCGTCTGGCCGCGCTGTTCCGCGTGCAGGGCGGCCAGCTCGAGAAGGTGAGCGAGGCCAGCGCCGGCGACCTGATCGGCCTGGGCAAGCTGGAGGGCTTGAGCACCGGCGACCTGGTCTGCCCCGACAGCGTCGCCGCCGCCGACTGGGCCGTGCCGCTGCCGCCGGTCTATGCCCTGGCGATCCAGCCGCGCAACCGCAGCGACGAGGTGAAGATGAGCGCGGCCCTGGCCAAGCTGCTGGAGGAGGATCGCGCCCTGTCGCAGGAGACCGATCCCGACACCGGCGAAACCAAGCTGTGGGGCCAGGGCGAGGTGCATCTGCGCATCGCGCTCGACAAGCTGGCCGGCCGCTTTCACGTCGAGGTCGACTCCCAGCTGCCGCAGCCCGCCTACAAGGAGACGATCCGCAAGGGCGGCGAGCATCACGCCCGCCACAAGCGCCAGACCGGCGGCCACGGACAGTTCGCCGACATCAAGGTCGCCATCGCGCCGCAGCCGCGCGGCGCCGGCTTCGCCTTCCACGACCGCATCGTCGGCGGGGCGGTGCCCAGGCAGTTCATCCCGGCGGTCGAGGCCGGGGTGCTGGAGGGGCTGCAGCGCGGCCCGCTGGGCTTTCCGGTGGTCGACGTCGCCGTCACCCTCAACGACGGGCAGTTCCACGCCGTCGACTCCTCCGAGATGGCCTTCAAGACGGCCGGGCGCATGGCCATGCAGGACGGGCTGCCGCACTGCGAGCCGGTCCTGCTGGAGCCGATCCACCTGGTCCGGGTCAGCGTGCCCAACGCCTACACCAGCAAGATCCACGGCCTGCTCTCCGCGCGCCGCGGCCAAATCCTCGGCTTCGACGCCAGGCCCGGCTGGGAGGGCTGGGACGAGGTGCAGGCCTACCTGCCGGCGGCCGAGCTGGGCGACCTGATCATCGAGCTGCGCTCGCTGACCCAGGGGATCGGCAGCTTCACCGCCAGCTTCGACCACCTTTCCGAGCTGACCGGGCGCCTCGCCGAGCGGGTGGTGCAGAACCGCCAGGCGGCGCAGTAGCGGGGCCTGTGCGCCCTCGCCCTCTCGGGGCGGACTGACGCCTCGGGGGAACCCGGCGGGGCCTGGAGGAGTTGTCTTCGACGATGTCCGATGCTGCCGAAGCGGCGGCGCGCCGGCTGCTGGCCGCGCGCCGCGACCGCACCCCGCTCGATGCCCTGCCGGAGGCGCTGCGCCCGGGCGACCTGGACGCCGCCTGGGCGGCGCAGCGCGCCTTCGTCGCGGCCAGCGGGCAGACGCCGATCGGCTGGAAGCTCGGCGCCACCAGCCGCCGGGCGCAGGCCTTCCTGGGGGTCGACGCGCCCTTTGCCGGCGTGCTCTTCGCCGAGACGACGCGCGAGCTCTCCACCACGCAGGCGACGCAGCCGCTGAGCTTGCGCGCCGACGACTTCCTCTTCCGCCTGATCGAGCCGGAGTTCGCCCTGCGGCTCGGCCGCGACCTGGAGCCCGGCGGCGCGCCGGAGGAGGTGGCCGCCGCCGTGGCCAGCGTGCATCCCGCCGTCGAGATCGTCTCCAGCGCCTTCGGGGCGGCCTGGACCCGGGTCGGCGGGCTCTCGCTGATCGCCGACAACGCCGCCCACGGCGGCTTCGTGCTGGGGCCGGGCCGGGCGCTGGCGGGCTTCGGCGACCTGCTGGAGCGGCGGGTCCGCCTGACCGTCGACGGCCGCGAGATCGGCACCGGCAGCGGCGCTGCCGTCGAGGGCGGCGGCCCGCTGGGGGCGCTTGCCTGGCTGGCCAACTTCCTGGCCGGCTACGGGCTGCGGCTGACGGCCGGCAGCCTGGTCACCACCGGCGTGGTCACGCCCTTCGTCGAGGTCGCGGCCGGCCAGGCGGCGGCGGCCGACTTCGGCCCGCTCGGCCGCCTCGAGCTGCGCATTTCCTGACCCGCCGGCGGCCGCGGCCGGACGGCGCCCGTTCTGCGTCGGAGGTTCACTTTAGAATTTTTCCAAAAAACGTTGCATCGAGCGACGGAGGAACCATATTGCACTCAGAACGTAAGGCGGGGCGCGGCCCGGCCATGTCCGCAGAGCAAGGAGAGCAACGATGACCCTGAACACCGGTTTGAGCGACGAAGACCGCAAGGTGGTGGCCGAGGGCCTGTCGCGGGTGCTGGCCGACACCTACACCCTCTACCTCAAGACCCAGAATTACCACTGGAACGTCACCGGCCCGCGCTTCAAGGGGCTGCACGAGCTGTTCGAGGAGCAGTACGTCGAGCTGCGCGAGGCGGCGGACGAGATCGCCGAGCGCATTCGCGCCCTCGGCCACTTCGCCCCGGGCAGCTACGCCCAGTTCGCCGAGCTGAAGTCGGTCGAGGAGGCGCCGGCGACGCCGCCGAGCGCCGAGGAGATGCTCGGCCAGCTCGCCGCCGACAACGAGACCCTCTCGCGGGTGGCGCGCAGCGTCGTGACCTCGGCCGAGAACGTCGAGGACGAGGTCACCATCGACATGATGGTTGCGCGCATGTCGGTGCACGAGAAGGCGGCCTGGATGCTGCGGGCCCACCTGCAGTAAGGCCGTCCCCCCTGCTCGACGCGAGGACCAGGTCGCACCCGCATGGCCGGATTGGACACCTTTCTGCTCGGCTCCGCCGCCTCCCTGGTGGCGGGGCTGGGCACCGGCCTGGGGGCGCTGGCGATCTACGCCGTGCGGCGGATGACCCTCGCGCTGGAGACCCTGCTGATGAGCCTGGCGGCCGGCATCATGCTGGCCGCCTCGGCCTTTTCGCTGCTGATCCCCGCGCTGGAGGCGGCCGAGCCGACGGCCGGCGCGTTCGGGGCCGGCCTGATCGCCAGCGCGGCGGTATTGTTGGGCGCCGGGTTGTTCTGGCTGGTGCACCACTACGTGCCGCACGAGCACTTCATCAAGGGCCGCGAGGGCCAGGACCTCCTTGAGGTTAAGCGGCTCTGGCTCTTCGTGCTGGCCATCACCATCCACAATTTCCCCGAGGGGCTGGCGGTCGGCGCCGGCTTCGGCGGCGAGGACCAGGCGCGGTCCATCGCCCTGACGCTCGGCATCCTGATCCAGAACATGCCCGAGGGCTTCATCGTCGCCGCGGCGCTGGTGGCGCTCGGCAACGGCCGGCGCCTGGCCTTCCTGGTGGCGCTGCTGACCGGGCTGGTGGAGCCGGTCGGCGGCCTGTTCGGCGCCGGCGCGGTCGCCTTCGTGCAGCCGCTGCTGCCCTGGGCGCTGGCCTTTTCCGCCGGCGCCATGCTCTTCGTCATCGGCGGCGAGATGATCCCCGAGACCCACCGCAAGGGCTACGAGAGCCGAGCCACCTTCGGTCTGCTGCTCGGCTTTTGCCTGATGCTGATTATCGACCAGGCGCTCTGAGGCGACCGGCGCGCAAGGGAGCGCGGGGGCGAAGTCTCACGCCGCCCCGCATACGCGCGTCTTATCCAAGGACGCATGACGTCCGAGATGCCCCAAGTCTGCGAGGACGGCGCCCGGTGAAGGATCAGCGCGGCCTGCCCCTGGAATGCCGCACGCCCGAAGCGGCGGCGGCTCTGGAGACCGCGATCGAGGAGCTGCTGGCCTGGCGCGACGGCGTCGCGGCGGCCGTCGGCCGGGCGGTTGCGGCCGACCGGCGCGCGGCGCTGGCTCAGGTGGTCGGCGCCTACGACCTGCTGTGCCAACCGCCGCCGGACCAGCCCGAGCGCCTGCGTGAGGCCCTGGCCCGGGCCGGTGAGGGGCGTTCGGGGCCGCGCGGCCGGGCCCACCTGACGGCGGCGCGCGCCTGGGCGGCAGGCCGGCCGGACGCGGCCGTGGCGGCGCTGGAGGCCTGGCTGCTGGAGGCGCCGCAGGACCTGCTCGCGCTAGCCATGGCCCAGCGGCTCTACCAGGGGCTCGGCGAGGCGGAGAGTCTGCGCGACGCGCCGGCACGCCTGTTCGATGCCTGGGACGCGGCGACCCCCGGCTACGGCCAGCTTCTCGCCGCCCACGCCTGGGGCCTGGCTGAGACCGGTGCGCTGGCCGAGGCGGAGGAAGCCGGCGTCCAGGCCCTGGCGCGCGAGCCGGACACGCCGCTGGCGGTGCTGGCCGTGGCCGCCGCGCTGGAGCAGGGCGGGCGGCTGGCCGAGGCGCAGGAGTGGCTGGCGCTGCAGGAAACGGTCTGGCGCCCTGCCGAGCGTCTGGCGCCGCAGATTCAGGGGTATCTGGCCTTGCTGCAGGTGGACCGCGGTGCCGTCACCGCGGCGCTGGCGCGCTACGACGAGGCGCTGGCGCCGGGCTGCGCCGGGCCGGCCCGCTTGATCGACGCCGGCGGGTTGCTCTGGCGCCTGGAGCTGGTCGGCGCCGAGACCGGCGGGCGCTGGGCGCCGCTGCTCGAGGGCTGGGGCGCGGTTGCGGCCGTGACGC